AAGACCAAGATATATATATATATATATATATAAAACCTTTTCTTCAACTGACAAAGTGAAAAAACGTTGCTGCAGGCAAGAAGAGATCAGCGGATTTTCAGTTTGCATCTACAAGGGACCAGAAAAAGGGGTATGCATAGTTTTAGGATCTCGGGGGCCCTAAACTGACCGAATGCTGTATTTCTGTTGGGTCAATGTTGTACTTAAGGGAAACCCTGTAACTCTGAGGAGTATAAAATGTCGTATAAAAGGAGTATAAAAAGGCCGAAACGTGTGGTAAAGATTTCACGTATTTCTGTTATCAGGGTTGCTGCACACTTTTCAAATTTAAGTCTTTTTAAGACCTGAAGAAATAAAAATGAATACTATACATTAGGGGTGTGCAATATTGAAATTATATCGCGATATTTCCAAAGTTTTGTTGATTATAATGTGTTTTTGTGCTGGTCCCATGGCTGGTTTAGGCCTGTTGTTGACAGCTGACTCACAAAGATATTCATATTATTTATTCTATGCAGTGGTCAGTTCACAGCAATGACAGAAATGAACATTTTTATTAAATGGAGGGCAATATTTGCCACCTTAAATTGGTTTCCAGGGGCATTTTTACCTATTTAAGGGCATGTTTCTAAATGTGTTAGATGTATCCATCACCTTTTATGTCAAATACTAACATTCATATTAAATTATATTAGAATAATAACAATATAGGGCTGTTGCCTACCAGTCAAATTAAATCATTATCAACAAAACCCATCTTTGCAGTGCAGAGGTGACACAGGAGCGCAATCAGAAGCGGCATTAATATATTTATACAGCATTTAGAATTGCATAAATAATGCTATTAGATTTGAACTTTTTAATTAAAGGGTATTTTAAATATGAAACTAAACCCGCCAGTAGGTGGTAACAAGTCACTGTCTTAATAAGTGAGTTGAGGGAGTCATTCATTCAACCGATTTGTTCAAATGGCTGATTCATTTAGGAAAGAAGCAAGAGATGAGTCATTGAATCATTAATTACACTGACTTTTTATGGCCTTACATTTTAAGGATAAGCAGGAACACTGGTTATGTCGATTTTTTTATTCTGTACTTTGTTATTAAAACGAAACCATGGAAAGTGTGGTGATTCATAACCTCTCTTAAACAAGTGCCAAAGTCATTTTTTTTCTTCATATCTATTATCTGAACCTGGACAACAATCCCATCGAGCCTCAAGAACACCAATAAATACAACCAATAAACACCAATAAATACAACACACTGTAAATGTGTTTGAAACAATCTACAGTATATTGTAAAAAGTATAGCTATAATAATAAAGGTGACTTTTGTATCTTTTTAAATAAGCTTGATGCTGATTTCTATTCAGGGTGAGAAATTTCTGACTTAAAAATAAAATTATATATATATATATATATATATATAAATAAATTAAGAATAATTTTATTCTTAAAAATGTTTTGTAAACCCGACCCCAGAAAATGGTCTTGGTTGCCCACCTGCAGGTTTCCTCCACCGACGCTCTCCCATCTTATAAACTCCCCACGCACTGAATAAACAGCAGCCCGCAGCTCGATGTTAGTGTTCTGAAAGTGGGAAGAAGGTTTGTGAAAATGTAAATTCATGTTTACAATATGTTTAGATGTCCACAGTGCTTACCTTTTGTGCCCCTTTAAAGCTGAATCCAACAGGAAGTGGTTCATTCTGTAGAACTCGTGATGCCAACCCAAGCTGTTCTCCATAGTATAGCCAAGGCAGGTTTGTCCTCCTACAGTCACAACACTGTCTTTGAGAATCACAAATACGAGCACACAGGGTTCTTCAGCCCATTTAATGAGAATTTAAATACATTACAGACAGAGATCCTTCTTAACAGTATCATGATGTAAATATGTAACTAATTTAATATCAGATCATTTTCGTTTTCACATCTCATCTCAGTCATAAAGCAGGTGATCTTGAATGAATCACACTGTATTTAAGTAAAACAGATGCAATTCATGTCGCACATGACTTATCTCCTATGGTTGATTACAGATCTTATTAATGGTAATTTTTAGTGAATGCCAAAATAAAGTCAAAGATGGGGCGACTTCATTTACAGCACCCATAACAAATATCTGTGAGTGTGACATGATTCTAAAGAAGTCGTTGGTGCAAATCAATCGAAGGATTAAGAGGGAATCAGAAATGTCAAAATAGCAAGTTAATAAATGTGTACGACACAGTGGGACAGAATGATCTTGTTTTATTTTGTATGCTAACAGTATAAATGACGTATATATTTGTAAAACAGGGAGATTCTCTGGGATTCTCAGCTCTCTAGGACAACATATAAAATTTTAAATGGTCAGATAGTAGTGAATAGTAAAGTACAATACAATAACTGTATATTTATTACCAGTAGGAGATGTCCTGGCTGCTGCCCTGAGCAGCTGTTGCTCTGTAGATTGTGTTGTAGAGGCCACAGGCATCATTGTTGATGGTGCTGGAGGAGTGCATGTTCATCACACACATGTTGCCCAGAGACTGACATGCTGTCCTGTTAGAGAACAACTACAGAACAAAGTAAACCAAAATCATATATGTTCAGAAGTAAGGCATATAAATATTTTAAGATGAACTATTATTGCTTTTTTTCGTCTTTCTTTATTGTGTAATTTTGTTGTTAATTCCCACCTAAGGCAAATGCAAAAAAAAAAAAAAAAAAAAGAAACGAGTCTTGGTTGAGTTGCGTTAGCAGTGTGTTGAAACTTGCGGTTATGGTAAGGAGTGTGACATTTGGTCAACACAACACACTGATCCAGCTGAGCAATCAGAGCAGCACATTTCACTTTTCGGAAGGAGAGGCTTCATAGAGATGGGGAACTAAACAGAGTGTTACAGACAGACTGGAGCCACTGCAACAATGTAAAATATGTGAAAAATAATGTGTTTTTTCCCCAAAATTCAAGCATGAAAATCTATTCTAGTAGACCCAAAGACCTGTGGTTACGCCTAAGTGGCAGAGTTGGTTTTCAGCGTGAATGACATGAAAAACACAAATATATTTGACAAGAAATCTGAGGTATATTTTTACAAACTAAGAATATTGTGCCAGTTACAGAAAAGATAAGTAAATGGATTGCTACAATAACAGAAACAACTGGACTCCAGGCAGCAAAATGTGGATTTGAAGTTATCAGTTTGTGTGAATATACAATGAATTTTGGGGTAAAATAATATATTGTATTGTTATATTGTATTGACAACTCATCAATTAAATGTTTAGGCTAGAGGACACAAGTTTTAGGGCTAGAGGATATGAAGATGTAATCAAAGTTATTCAACTCGCATTGCAAATCAGGTTTATTGGCAAAATGTACAAACTTTCAGCTGTTTGCAATGAAAAACATAAAACAAAATTAACTGCAATACAGCAATAGAAAATGCATGTGTGTGTAGAAACTTACCAAACAGGCAGCTGCTGAAGAATACATGAAGCTTGAAAACCATGCTGATGGGATAGAGAGGGTCTGTGTAACACAAACACGCATGACACTTTAAAACTATGAACCCCAACACACTAACAACAGTACACAAACTGAATTCATAATGTTAACTTTGGACTCTTTACCAGTTGGCCAAAGATGACATTTGAGGCAACAGAGATAGGCAAACTGTTTGAAGGGAAGCACATCCCTCCAGCCTGTGTGACGAAAGCAAAACTTTCTTAATTCTCATCACTCTAAATGCATTGCATAAACATAGGCTCTACATACATTTAAACAAATGCACCAAATTCTCACCAGTATGTTTGATGTCCCGCAAATACACGACTTAGACGAGTTGATGAATGAGTCCTCACATCTCACACACCTAAAATCATACACAAGTCCAAACAAAATGAATCACTTTTTATGCATGAAGATAAACATGAAAACCCAGTGTCATTTACAAGAATGGCAACTTTACCTTTTGCCTGTTGTATCTGGGGCCGAAAAAGCAGGCTCTGTTGCACTACATGCTTCACATCGCGCTTCATTTAATGGATTTCCATTCCCATCTCTCTCCACTGACAAAAATACAATTAGATACCATGAAATTATAAAACAATGCTGCACCGTTTACCTAAAACTGTGCACCATTAACCTACCCAGCACGCTTCCCTCAGGACACTGGCACTTGCCATTCGCCCTTACACCTCCAGGACAACGGATGCATTCATACCCATCCTGAGTAACCCCCTGTAATCATATTATTGTAAAATAGTATTATTATTCTTAATAGAATAACAATAGCAATACAAATTCAACTGAATACAGTACCTGATTGGCATCAGGACATTGCTGGCACGTGATGGATGCCCCGTTACTGACCAGCACCTTGAAACCAGTCTGACACTCGCATGTCAGTCCTATATGGCAGAAATACACATAATTGTACAAGCTTCTTTAAAATTAAGCATGTTATAAAACATGTATGGTTAATATAGCAAATAAACCTCTATATTTTAATCTTTATTTGTTTATTGTGGTGTTATGTGCAGCAAACGTCTTTATAATTTATTATATCGCGAGCAGTTGATTCACTGACAAGAAACGTAACGTTACTCGTATGAATCTAGGTTTAATCAACAACAGAAATGACGATACCTCGATAAATGAGTGTTGTCTAGTGTTAGGTTGGTCAAAACAAAGCAAACTAATCTGCGCGCGCGTTCCGTGTACCTGATTTGCTGTTGACTTGATTCGGCCCGCATTTCACACAAGACAAGCTCGAAATATCAAAATAACTTTCAGCACCACAATCCGAAGGCTGTTGAAGAGATATAGAAAACTGCTGGCAAGAAAAGGCGTTTAATTTGATCAGGTATATGACCGAGAAACTGCACACGAAAGCTCTCAGCGTCCCCGTCGCCATGGTGCAGATGACGTACATGTTCCTGTTTACGCTGAGAAAGCATGTTGCGTGCGCGCTGCCGCGCTCCTCTTAAAAGTCTCCTCCAGAGGAAGTTGAGTTACCCGCCGGACGCATGTGGTGTGCAGTTTGCAGGTTACCGCGTGTTTTCTGTGACAGAAAAAAAGTCTTTTGCAGGCAACTATTTATGAAGTATATGTTTTAAAGAAAAACAAACGGTAAGTAACCGTTAAGGGTCTGAGGACACATTTGTGTCGATTTTTTTTTACCTGGAAGGGAATTTTCTTGTGTGCTTTTTTGTTGTTGCCATTTTGGAAGTGTTAAACAAAAAGGAGAAAAACAGTAGTTTGTACAAAAAGTTGTTTTTTTTTTGTTGTGTTTTTTTCGAGAAACATATCTAAAATGTTTGCTTTTTGCCTCTTTTTTTAAAACAGATCTCAGTGGTTTGTGTGAAGAATTTGATCATGACAATAGTGGTTCTGCGTTTGCAAGGTTTAAACACAGAGGCAGGATCTGAAGATATTCGCAGATTTTTCCATGGCTTGCACATACCTGAGGGTGGCGTTCATATCATCGGTGGTGCGATGGGTGAAGCTTTCATTATTTTTAATACAGAGAGAGAAGGCCAACTAGCCATGCGCTACTCTGGAAAACTCCTCAAAGGCTCCTCTATTTCATTACATATCAGCAGTCTGCCTGAGTTAAAGAGAATAATGGAGTCGAGATTGAGGAAACCAAAGTCAACAGTTGAGACCAAAATAGTGCCATCATCGCCATCTGACACCAATGCAGCTCTTTTGCTTAGTCTAATGGCTGCTATTCACGGGCCGCATTCAGACAACAAAGTTAATCGGCTAAGTCAGGCACTCCAAACACCTGAAGATATCAACCAAAACATTCCAAAAATACATAATCATTCCACAACTGACAACCAAACAAATGCAGATGCTCAGCATAGTGTTACTTATGACTTTGCATCTAAGGAGCAGAAAAGCAGAGGAGAAAACCTCAATATCTGTAAGCCAGGGTACCTTCGGCTTTATGGATTTCCTGACTCTGTTGCCGAACAAGAAATCTACCAGTTCCTACGGGGACTCCCAGTGCTGGAGGTCATTACGAAAGTTCGACTGGAACTGGGCTGGTGCTGTATGGCAAAGCTGGCAAGTTTTGCAGATGCAGAGGAAGGGCTGAAATACAGCCACAGAAAATTCAAAGAATTCAATGTTGAGGTCAGATTTGCCCATGAGAAGATGTGGACAGAAGCCATGGAGCAGTCCAAAAATTGCATGCAAAACATCAAGCCTCACACTTTCTCAGAGCAAAAGGAGGTCAACACAGATAGGAATGCAATTAGAGGTTTCTTAAACAAAAGAAATGCAGAAGAACAGCCCTCACCAGGATCTCCAAAAAAATTCTGCAGGAACTTTCCATCCCCTCAAACTGAACAATCTGTAATTGTCAATAATCTTTCAAAGAATATAACCAAGACGGAGATCAAGGAGATTTTCGGCTGTCCAGCACTCCCAAATCATAGAATAAAACATTTATTAAACAAGTGGGGAGAGAGGACAAGCACTGCGTTCATTACCTTTGAGCATGCAGAAGACTACGCATCAGCTCTGAACATGAATGGCACTACTGTTGGCTTAAAAAACATTGAAGTGTCATCCATTACTAAAGATGAAATCTTTGCCATAGTCAGCAGAAACCGATGTGTCTGGAGGCCACCGCCTTATGGAAAGAAACATTTAGCCATGTCGTGTATATATGCACGCAATTTTCCTGCAGATATCAGGAAACAAGAGGTGAAAGATTTTTTCATGCGCTTTAACATCTGTGACAATGCAATCATATTGCTTGTGGACAGCCAGGGCAATGGCGTTGGGGAAGCCATCGTGCAGTTTGGATGTCAGGAAGTCGCCACACAAGCCCAGAGTCTTCATGGAAAGTATTTTATGGGAGCAAAAATTCTACTCACCTGCATCACACGTCAACAGATGGAGAAGATACTTGGCACATGTTGAACACCTGGAGATGTGAGATGTTTTCAGCACCTTCAGACACCAGAAGTGGTGTAAAATCTATGTTAATGATGAGGACAATTCATTCATTTGAAGAACTCTAACAAGCTTCTCATGCCAAATGTTGTAGAAATTTGGCACTCTGGCATGCAATGTGCTCAAGCAATATTATGGGTACAACAATTGAAGATGCCCAGTCAAGATTTTGAGTACCACATGGAATGAGCCACACTTAAAAAAAGGACCTCAATGTTTTTCATTCAATGGTTGGCAAAGTATTAAGGCCTACTCCAAGTGCTTTAGTAATGGCTGTATACTTCCACATTTAAAACTCTTGCACTTGTTGCTTTTCCCCCCCCCCATCAGTTGTTGCTGCTGAACACCGCTTATTGGCTTCAATTAAAAATGGATATATCCCAGAAATCTTGTATTGCATATTAAAATTGACTGAGTTATTCGGTTTGACTGTATATATTTTACGTTTATCAGAAATTTGTTACAGACAAGATGTTTAAAATGGTTTCCGAACATGTCTGTATGGAAGCCAGTATTATGATTTGCCATTTCTATACATTCCTGTTTCTAAATTGGAAACGACTTTGAGTCGTTTCTGATCTTTTCGTGACTTGATAAATTTGTGTTTAATTTGACAATTTGATGTTATATTGCAATTAAACTTGCACAATCAGTTTCAGTCAATATTTCAGTCTATAATTTGTCAATAAAAATTAATATCTTAAATAATATCTCAGCCACCGCACTCATTATTTTTAATCAAAGGAGATGTTGGCGTGTTATCCAAGCATTAATGGCAAGAAAAGCCCCTTGTACTTGGCAGCGGTGCATATGAGGTGTTCCTCCCTCCTATCTGCTTCAAAGTCTTCAAATATTGTGGCGTTTCTTTGTTGTTTAGAATCCAGTATTCCCATAATGCTTGTCTTTAATGAGTTTAATGAAGAGCTCTCGTCTCATTTTCTGAGTTTAATGAAGAGCTCTCGTCTCATTTTCTGTCCGCCATCAATGTCAGGTGACCTGTAAGTGCGCAATTTTTTTTCCATTGCAGTTTTGTGACATTTATTTTATGAATTGCCTAAAAAACCACCTCATGCAAGTGTAAAAACTTTTTTTTTTTTTTTGCTATATATGTTTGTTTTTTTTTAAATTGATGTTTCCATTGGGGAGTTTCCATCTCAATTTGCAAGGGTATGGAAACGTGGCATGATGCAACTTCATACAAATGCCATTTGCACTGCACTACATAAAGGGAATCAATGAAAAGTGGTCTACATAAATATTTAAAAACCCTAATCAAACTAAAATATTTGAGATCCGTATTAATGCAACCCACCACATTTCCCAGTTTAAACTCGCTACAGATAATAAAAATCTATTGTACCAATGCAAATCTTGAATTCTACTGGAGAGCAGTAATATAAGATCAAAACTGATGGAGATGTGAAGACAAATGTTAATGTTTAACCAAACAAATTAATTCTGTTGTAAAGAATAATTTATCAATTGCGATTCATTTCCAAACTCAAATCATTTTTGTCATTCCACGATTTGGGGAGGGTTATTCATGCTTTTATTACTTGATGCTTGGACTACTGTAATTTTTTGTTTTTGGGTCTTCCTCAATCATCGCTTGCTCGACTCCAGATGGTGCAGAATGCAGCTGCAAGGCCGCTGACCGGGACAAAGAAATACGATCATGTCATTCCCATTTTAGCCTCGCTTCATTGGCTCCTGATCTATTTTAGAATTCAGTTTAAAATCCTGTTGTTTGTTTTTAAAGCTCTTAATGATCAAGCTCCATTATATATTAGAGATATTCTTACTCCTTTGTCATCCACTAGATATTTAGACAGAGCTCTTTTCAGAGCTCAATTGCCTTTGGACACCCACCTTGCACCCTCAACTGCTATTTTTAAATCTAAATTGAAAACTTTTATTTCCCCAAAGCTATTTCTGTCTGTTCTGTTTTTTGTTGTTATTTTTCACTCTGTGCAGTACTTTGGGTAGCCCTGCTAAATATGTGCCATATAAATAAAATTCACTTGCTTAATATTATTTTTGTATTTTGTGAAGTCTGAAGTACATGAAAATGTATGAGAGGATTACATGTCAGAGACACCGAGAGGAGTTATTTTAACCACATTGGAATGTACATGCAATGTAGCAGGTGTTCTCCCATGTGAGGCTACGGAAAATGTTGAATGAGGTATTCTCTACAGGAGGAGGACTGTATAGCATGACATGTACATCTATTTTAAACGCGAACAACATTTTACCACCTTGTAGGGATAAGTTCCTTTGATCGGCAAATACATACCCAAACTTCAAGTACGGACATCATCCCTCCAGAAAATTGTCTCTCTCCTATGTCTTGACAATTAATAATAAACGGGATATCTCTTGGCAAAATAACTGGTGTTTAGTCCAGTGATTCAACAACAGGGACAAGAGCTTAATTCCAAGTCTACAAGATGCTGTAATCAAACTATGGGACAACCTGATCGAAGTGAGGATGTCTTCAAGGGATATAGGAACTGAACCCACAGTTCAATGAGGAACTATGAGTTTATTTTACAACTATGGCAACAGACATTTACAACAAAATGTCACATTGAAGATTTGACTGACCGCTTAAAGACTGTTTAAATCACTCACTAAAAATTGTTGCTATTACAAATAACTGCACACAAATGTTTGTCTGAGCGAAAAAAGAGAAAAATTAAACATTTAAAATAAATCTACCTATGTATACACTGTAAAAACAAAAATGACCTAAAAGGCAAGAAAAAAAAAGTGTTTGGTCATGAACAAAGTCAAGAAAGCCATGTCGAAAACAGGCTGGATCCAGGTCTTGGTTACATCCAACAGATGAGTGTTCATTTGTAGAATCTTGATGGCCCTGTGAGGGTAGAGCAGTCTGAGTGAAAATGAACTATGCATTTAGATAAAACAATGACAGACATGCTCATTTGGGCTCATTATTTTTTCAGCCTCTGTACCCATCTCGGTTTCTAGCAGAGTAGGGTTGAAATCATAGAATCAATATCATGAGTCATGATACTGGAAATTTGACAAATGAAAGGTACTCGTTTCATATGGATGCAAACTATTAACTAGCAAAACTTAATAAATGAGTAAAACAAGCATAAATGTGCAATACCAGGCATGCCGCTGGAAAATCGGTCATTGGAACTGTTTGGAAGACAGGATGAGTAGTTCATTGGGGGCAGGGGCTTCAGAGTGGGCACCTGAAAAAATACAAACTTAACTGTGAAAACACATTTTTAAATTAAATCATGTGATAGATGACTTCTTGTCTTACTTTAGATCTTGTTGTTCATCCTACTCAGCATGTTTTTTGCCACAACTTTCATTTAGATTGGTTTAGAAATGCAATGGTAGATTTACAAAAGACAAGACAATGGCAAGTCTTTCAAGAAGGGAGAAACCCTGTTACAAGGGTTTAATTTTAGCTCGAATGAGGAAGAGAAAATAAGCTATTTCCGTTAATACCACGACATTAAAAACCTTTATGTCCTTTAATTACTGCTTTACAAAATACATTGCACTGAAATAGGGGAGACCGGGGACAGTTGCAACAGAGGATGGTTGCAACATGTCATTTATCTCCAATCAGAAACAAGCAAGAGTGATGACACTCACACTGCACATGCACAATTGGATGCCCCACCTTGCAGAGAAAAATCAAGGAAGTATTTATTTTCTTGAGTTTCGTTTTTGTTATACTGTTTGTTATACTTTTTATGTGATTCAGCTCAAACTTATATGGTTTAAATGAGTGAAATGTTAACTTTAAGCTGTATGGTTAGCATGCATCAAGGTAGCCTTGTTTAGCTGGCACATGAGGTTATCATGGCTGACAGGAACTGTTGCAACTCTCCCTGTTCCTGTCATGAACAATGCATAAATAAATAAACATATTATAAAATAGTTTTAAAAACACGTTTTACATGAAAATAGGCTAAATAAAAGTTAATTGCCTCACAAATTGTTCCATTCTACCTACGTACTGTATTTTATATCAGTTTGAATATTTGACATCTGAACATAAGGCCTATTTATCTATATAAATCTATAATTGTCATCTAATCAAAGCTGATGAATAAATAACACTGTGATATTATTATAACTTGCATTTTTGATAATTAACATTTTGCTTACACTGACATATATTGTATTTGTAACATGTTGCAACCATCCCCGAACAATGTTGCAACTGTCCCCCAGTTGCATGGTGTGCTTATTAAGCATACCACATCCTGTTCACAAACAAAACAATTCTGCAACTGGTTTCATTGACTCCTTTTTGACTCCAGCAAACACTGCGGTGGCAGATTTTAAACTGAATATTAAGCCAACCATGTTTTAACATTTGACCTCATTTAGCCTGCTAAATCTGAGACAATGTACTAAGACATTCTGTACGTGTCAAACGCCTGACTGGGTGTATAAATAACAAATATGGGAAATGGAACAAGACAGATGACTAAGTTAGAACTTGTCATCAATGAAGTAATCATTAAAACTAAATCTCCTCTACCCAGTAACAAAAGAGACTGTAAATGAAGAACCAATCAAAATAATGTCATTTGACATACCTCCCTATTGTATAAAAACTGTTGTCTCAGTATTTTCGGGGGGATTCTCAATGGAATTTGTCTGAGATCCACCGGCCTTGTTTTTACTTGGGAGATTCTCTGAGTATTGCTCAAGAACTCTCCTGGCCGTAATTAAAAGCATTGAAATGACATTTGCTGCAGTCTGTCTTATTTAAGCTGCGCAGCAAGAACAAGCAAGTTAGAATTACTAGCACCAAGTCGACGTCGACTGTAGACACGCTAGGTTTATAGGATTAGTACCCGGCTGACGTCGACTGTAGATGCGATGGTATAGGGTAGGTTTTAGTGCTCAGCCGACGTCGATGTATAGATGCGCTAGGGTAAAAACTATAAGACTTGGCCAACCAGAGTGAGTATTATTGTAGGGTAGTCAGATTTAGGAAAAAATCCATTACAACACCAACACAAATATAAAACTGCTGTTTGCTTCTTTAAATCACCCAAACACACGACATCATGACTTTTGCGTAAACATTTTTCAGCTATCCGCATGCATGTCTACGCCGTTAAATGTCCGAGTGATTCCGCGGGTATGTAAACGCTGTTAAATGTCCAAGCGAAACGAAGCAAAATGTAGATCTCATCTGGGGAGCGATATTTTTTTTTTTCCTAGGATGGTAGGGAAGACTCATAAATGGTATTAACCCCAGTGACGGGTAGGTTTAGGGACGGGGTTGGGGTAGGTCATATATTTATATATATATATATATATATACATATACACTCACCGGCCATTTATTAGGTACCCCATGCTAGTAACCGGGTTGGACCCCTTTTGCCTTCAGAACTGCCTCAATTCTTCGTGGCATAGATTCAACAAGGTGCTGGAAGCATTCCTCAGGGAGTTTGGTCCATATTGACATGATGGCATCACACAGTTGCCGCAGATTTGTCGCTGCACATCCATGATGCGAATCTCCCGTTCCACCACATCCAAAGATGCTCTATTGGATTGAGATCTGGTGACTGTGGGGGCCATTTGAGTACAGCGAACTCATTGTCATGTTCAAGAA